GGAATGGAAGTAGAATTGCAGTGCATTATTTTAGAGTCATGCAATATATTTTTATCTTGGAGCAGCAGAAGATTAATAGTTACATACCTATCACTTAAAAGGAGGAAAAAAAAGGGTATGTCCAGCTGATGGTAGTATGTGTCATTTCCTCAACTCTTTGCGTTCTCTTTAGAGAGAAAATCCCTGAAGTAAATCTGGCATAACAATACCAGCTCCTTACACTATGTGACTCAGACACATCAGAGTTGAATATTATGTTACTCCCTATTTGTATGGAGTGTCAACAGCCATAGCATCCAAGTTGTAGATGCTTGTAAAGCATTCTTGAGTACGACAGATTTCAATTCATAATGCAAAATCAGAATGTCATAACTGCTTTCTACTCCATTCTGCAATTTTTATTAAAAAAAAAACTTGTTTGAAATTCAGTTACCATTAGAAATGTCTTTATTCTTTGTTTATTTGTTACTACATTACAATTTGCCCAAAATAATTTAGTCAGCAGTCAACCTTACTGTTCAGAAAATGCAAATGAGGAACAATAGTAGGCTTTTGTTTTGTCAGTTGTTCTCAGATACTAACATGGATAATTAATTTGTCTATTTTCTTTATCTATTTATTTGTCTGTTATCACAAGGTGGTTCCTCTCTACCTGGTGGGGATTTTTTGTTGGTGTTGTTTGGTTGTTTGAGGGGGTTGGTTTGTCTGTTTTCTATATAGCTATGGACATTTATTAATTTCTTCTACTGATTATCTTAAACAGCTGGTGTGTTTTTCTTAGTTGTGCTGCATCTCACACAGTGAGTTTGAGTGGTGAAAAGAATGATGTAAGTCAGCAGCTTTGCAGACTCTTGACATTTCATAAACCAGTGTTTTATGGATATTAATTTCTATATAGAGTCAGTGCCTTGAAATTTGGGTTCCAGAGAGCAGTGCTTTTCAATATTGCAAAATCAAATTTTCTTCTTGCTAAAAATGACATCTTTGCTAGCTCTTCTTGGGATGGCTGAATGGTCACAAACTTTTTGTATGCTTTCCTTTGCCACAGGGTCACATTACTTTTGAGAACCAAGGTTCCAATACAGATGAAATAAATATTAGTATTTACTTATTTTTATTGAGTAAAAATTTATCCAGTCTCACGATGATATTCATAATTGCACTAAAGGTCAGATTTTTCTCAGGTTAAAGTTTTTTTTCTCTATATCTGTTTCTTGGATACAATTTTTAATCTTATTACAAGAAAATATGGATAGTTTTTTTGTTCCACTTTGGAAATAAAATCTAAACTAAAATATGCAAAATTCTCTCATGAATGTCCTTATTCTGAAAAATTATGAGTGTTTGTAGAGTCTAAAGTATGTTAGCGGGAACCAAGATGGGAAGAGGGCAAAGCTAAAGTGTTTGCAGATTAGCAGTATAAGTGTATTTGTGTCCACCCTTAAAATCTGAAGTTATTCTCATAGAATGGTGGCTGCTGAACTGCAAAATTCAGAGGATCTGAAGATCCTTTTCAAAAAGTCATCATTACTCAAACACAACCTAAGTAGACATGTAGCCAATGGAGTATTTAAGGAAGATAAAGTAGAACAGCAGTTGCTGCTGTTTCAGTTCTTCTGGACGCTTACAATTCTTGGTTTTTTTCCTCAAATAGTCTCAATAGCCTGCTTCCCTGAGTTACCAGTAATTTTCTAATTAAATGGCATTTCAAAGACAAATGCCACTTTCTTGATGCCAAAACTTGTCACAAAAAAGATTTCTTACAGTGGATCTCCAAGTCGACAGATCAGGGAGAGGAAAGGTTAGCTGCTGCAGCATTATTTTGGCTCTGTAAACAGCCGAGTGCTTCAACTCTTGCTGGCTTTGCAAATGTTAAGGCTATTCAGCACCTATAAAATTTACTTAATACCTCAGACCTAAGCTTGGGAGCCACTCAGCAATGACAGTATGTTACAGACATCAGTACATGGCTGAAAAATCCTATTATTGGACTTTGATCTATTGCTACCCTTGTGAAAGTGCCAGTCCTACAGATATTCAAGTGTTTGACTAGCCTAGTTTATTCATTTCACACAGCCAGCCTAAAATCATCTTGTGCACCTCAAAATATTTTTCCAGTCCCTCTTGGCCAGTCTTTCTTAATATGTGGTGATGCATTAAGGCCAAATTTCTCAGGCATGTTCTTTAACTTTCTTATTTTTTTAATCTTTATTGAGAAGACAGTCAGCTTTCTGAATAACAGTTTTGGATTAATGTGCTGTGTTCCACTGGAACTGGCTGGTATTCTCCAAAAGCTACATCCTCTAGAAATCATCATGAATATGACTCAAGCTTCCTTCTTGCACTTGGAACAAAAAGGAGTCCAGAAAAATAATGAATACTTTCTCTAGGGAAGCTGTAGTGTCTACAGTAATTTAATGCAGTCTTCAGCAGACATTTTATAGACAAGAATATGCAGTTTTCCAAACAAGTTACAGAGGACTCACTCCTGGGACATGTGAACTCAAATATCTTTTTTCTTTCCCACCTGTTACATCTTTGTTCCACCTATTTTATGTGCCTTGTTCAGGATGATTTTGTTTTGTGTTCAGTGTTCTACTGAAGAGTGAGTGAGCTGAGAACCTCCTGAGATATGTCACAAATTTAGGTCTCTTTGCTAGTAACATGAGTGTCTAATTGCAGTTGTTTTAAATGACTGTGAGTTTTTTTTTATGCTAGGTGATGCAGATGTATCTCCCATTCTGTGGGATTGCTATATCCAATGCACAGCTATTTGCAGCTTCAAGGAAGGAATATGACAGAAGCAGGGTGAGTAAAAAATGTATATTAGACCAATATCAAACCTTCATCTTTTCTTCCTTCAGATTCCAGCTAGGCATATGTGTTTGCTAAGCAAATAGTTTTAACTGTGTTTTGGTTTTAAAAATGCATTTTCAACAGATCACTGTCTTCACTGAGGCAGCAAACAGAGAACGTGGGAGGGTAATAGGCTCATGGTGGTGGCTGTTGTTCCTTGATGTCAGTTCCATGTTTTGTAGTGCTGAAACAACTGTGTTTGTGACACAGATGGTGAAGGAGAGAGTGTTACTTTGGCAGGGATTCAAATTCTCATAAAATTTCAGTAATAGAAAACCTTTGTCATCCTGAATTTGTAATGTTCAATTCGTATGCAAATAATGTGGATATATGTTTATAAAAGTCAGAAAGATAAAAACCTGTATGTGAAGGGTTTTGACAGCATGTATCTGCATAGATCCACAACTCACATTGCTCATGATTGCTGATGCCATGCATGAGTTGGGACACGAAGCTCCAAAGAAGTGAAAATACTGCTGAGCTCACATGTCATCTACTTCTCAGGGAGGTCTTTATTTTTTCAAGACATAAAATGGTAATTTTGAAGGTTCTCTAATAATGATTGACTTCTTTTTAAATACTTTTTCCTGCAGTGATGGGAAATTATACTTTTGTTATCATGGATCACAGCTCCAAAGCTTCAGCAGAAGCACCACTGGTAGTGTTGAACCTGCTCTTGCTTCACAAAACAGGAGAAGCTACATTGGAATGGGTCTGTGTGTTGAGCACTGACATTTGTATATTCAGGATTTCAGAGCTTTCCATATAGAAGCTAATACTTTCCATTGCTATGAAAACTAGCAATGGCCCTTTCTAATGGTGTATTTACTTAGAGTCATGAAGCTGCTTAGCTTATCTTCTGTCCAGGTCTAACTACAGACTACTGTATTTTGTTGTGTGGATGTGTAGGAGACTTAGGGGAAAAAAAGAGATTTTCTGCTAAAGATTTTTTTCTTTGTTTGATACTCAAACAAAATAATTGTTTGACTACATAGAGACTTCAAATTTGCTGCAGATTCCCAGCCTGCAGGGAGCAATGACAGACTTTTGAACAGTATTTAATAATCTGAGGGAGACATTCAACAGAAAAGTATTAGGGACATTCTCATTCCCTATTAGAAAATGGTAAACTCTGGTTGTTGGACACATCAAGAAACTGAATGAGAGATAGAGGCTTTTTGTTTCATGTTGCCACTTCAACCATGCGAGGCACCACAAATATGATTGCCATTTGACAGCTACATGGTGGCCTGTACTTAATTGTATTTCTGACCTGTTGCTGGTCTTTAGCTTTGCCTAGTCCATGGTTCAAATTGGTTGGCAAGTAACACATGATGGGCATGCCCATACTTTGCCCTCTCTATCAAACTGAACACCAATGGTGGCAACTGTCAGTGACCATGACAAACATTTTGCTGATGAGCACTGATGAAAGCTAAGACCACTAACGTTTATATGCTTACCTATATGTTAAGGGAAGGAGTGGCTGGAAAGCTGCCTGGTAGAAAAGGACCTGGGGGTGCTGGTGGACAGATGACTGAACATGAGCCAGCAGTGTGCCCAGGTGGCCAAGAAGGCCAATGGCATCCTGGCCTGGATCAGAAATGGTGTGACCAGCAGGAGTAGGGAGGTGATCGTGCCCCTGGACTCAGCACTTGTGAGACTGCACCTTGAGAATTGTGTCCAGTTTTGGGCACCACAGGATAAGAAGGACATGGAGGTGCTGGAGTGGATCCAGAGAAGGCAGTGAGGCTGGTGAAAGGGCTGGAAAACATGCCTTGTGAGGACCAGCTGAGGGAACTGGGGTCGTTTAGCCTGGAGGAGACTGAGAGCAGACATTATTGCTCTCTACAGCTACCTAAATGGAGGCTGTAGTGAGGCTGGTGTTGGTCTGTTCTCCTGACTTACTAATGATAGGATGACAGTAAATGGCCTCAAGTTGCACCAGGGGAGGTTTCGGTTAGATATTAGGAAGAATTTCTTCCCTGAGAGAGTGGTTAGGCACTGGAATGGGCTGCCCAGGGAGGTGGTGCAGTCATCATCCCTGGAGGTGTTCAAAAAATGAGTGGATGTGGCACTTGAGGCTATGGGTTAGTGGTTAGGGGGATGTTAGGAAGAAGGTTGGACTTGATGATCCTAGAGGTCCTTTCCAACCATAGTGATTCTGTGATTCTATGATTCTATATGCATGTTCTTTAGTGTCAGTGCCCTAAATTAGAATAAAGGAAAACACACACTTCTTTGGAGCCATGATAAAAAAGAACGTGGCCTATTATTTTTGAGGTTGATGGAATGAGAAGGGAAGCCCTTCTTCTTTAAAACATTGTATTTTACAGACATGTTGTCAGTGGTAAAGACTAGATCAGAGTGCCATTGGAATATGGAAGCATTGATGTGTTTTCTTCTTTCCAACTCTGAATGTGCAAAATGGGTAATAAATGAATATTGAGCTCAAGTTCAACAGAAAATCCAATATAGAAAATCAAGTAACTCAATCCATACTGCATACTGGGAGAGTTGCATTACAGCCATTGTTTTATTTTTGGACCACAGTGAAGCAGTTTGAAAGATTCCCATTGTTTGCCAGGAGTTGGATTGTGCCCAGTTGTGAGCTCAGAAATACTTGATTTATTTCTTTCTTCAGATACTTCTATCCCAATTCTGTTGCAATAATCATTGAGAACTTTATTTGAATGAGGATTTCAATGGATCACTCATATTAAAATTAATCCCAGAGAATATGCCTCCTTTACAATGCTCCATGTGTTTATTACTTCTACAATCAATACTAGAGTTTTCTGTCCTTGTGTGCAGGCTTTGTTGGAAGTAGTGAATGACCTCTTTGAGGAGCAGACTGACTTGGAGAAAATTGTCAAGAAAATTATGCATCGGGCCCAGACTCTACTGAAGTGTGAACGGTGCTCAGTATTACTTCTGGAAGATATTGAATCCCCAGTAAGTATAGCTGCACGTTCTATAGAAAGGCTGATATTTGGGTGCTGGAGCAGCTGCTCTTATTGTGGTGAACAATAGACCTGATTTATTATTTCTTTCTAGACCCCCCACACTGATTTTAGAATTACAAGATACAGTTCTACTACATTCTTACGAAATGCCACTCTGTTTGCAAGTATAATATGGGGAGGGTTTTTGTTTGTTTGAAGTTGTGTTTGGTTTTGTTGTTTGTTTGTTTTTTTTTTTTTTTTTTTTTTTGGTTTTTGTTTTGTTTTGTTTTTTCCACAGAACAGTATACTGTGTTAGTGCATGGCAATTTCTTCATTTTTCTGCTCTTGGTACTATTTCTACCTTGGAACATGAGCGGTTTTTTTTCTCCAAGCCACAGGCAATGAGTTCTCATTCCTCTAGACCACATTCTGACATGTGGGCAATCAAGGTATTCAGTTAATAAGGCTAACGTTTTTCTAAACAGTCATAATTCTTAGGTTAGTTCGGAGTACGAGAACAGCATCTTGCTACACACTTGGTAATTTTTACAAGTGACAAAAAGTTATTTTCCTGATTTCCCCCAGTTTTGGTGGATCAACCTATACATCAAGATAGATCTCCATAGAGTAGCTCAATGTTAAGCCATGTCTAAAATATCATCATTTGTACATCACGTGAAAAGCTTTTACAATACAGAACCGAAGTGCAAGATGGGGACAAATACTAGCATCCAAAAACACTACATGTCACATTACCCACTCTTAAAATGTTTCATGTATGTGCTGTTGGCTTGTATATTCAAGGAAGACTGGTTGCAATTAGCAGTGCAAATGGGTCTTTCTGTTAATTTTCCTATATTAAAAAAAGTGAAGTTTGAGTAAGGCTTCATAATTCATATTCCAAAGCCCTTTGAAGGGAAGCATATACTGTTGCAGAAAATGGTTTCATGAAGGAATCTAAATGTATCATTTGACTTGATACTGTTAGTGAACTGTGCGCTGTGTGTATTATGACTATGAATTCTCTGTTGGCAGAATACAGGTTGAATTTCTATTGTAAGACCTTTGGGTTCAAGTATGGTTTAAATACAGGAACCTTACATTACTGTTTCTTAAATATTTATTCGTCTAAATAACAATTTTAAGTTACTTTTTTGTAACAGGTGGTGAAATTTACAAAATCCTTCGAGTTGTTATCTCCAAAATGCAATGCTGATACTGACAACAGGTTGGTGGTTATGTCTTTTCTGGTAAATTAATTACTTTATTTTTCACATAGTTTTAAATTTACTTGATCATAGTCTTATTTTCTTATGGAACTTTGGGTACATTTGAGTGAAGAGTGTGAGCCTGCAGTTTTTACTCAGACAAGACTCCTGCTTGCTTCAGATGAAGACTTGCTTGAATAAATATACTGCCTAGTTTTTTATATATATAAAAATATA